GATGGTAGTCAGACTGATGGTGGTCAGACTGATGGTAGTCAGACTGATGGTGGTCAGACTGATGGTAGTCAGACTGATGGTGGTCAGACTGATGGTGGTCAGACTGATGGTGGTCAGAGAGTCAGGTAGCGCTGGTGTATGGCTGATCCATCTCTCTCAGTGTGCCCCAGTTTGCCACCATCAGTGTGTGAATGTGTGTGAATGCGTAAATGTCTGAAGTGTAAAGCGCTTTGGGGTCCGGAGGGACTTGATAAAGYRTTATAAGTTTAGTCCATTTACCATTTTTATCATGACTGTGACTCGAGGTGGAATCACATGAGACGATGGCATTGCTGATAAAGTGTGGAGCGTAGCACCACCACTCATTATCCTGCAGGTCATAGAAGCCCATTCTTGTTTTCCTTTGGCAAGGCTTGGTTTCTAACACAGCTGCATCACCAAGACACTGCAGAGATGTTCTACAGATTTTCTGTCCGCAAAAGAGAGCTCACATTTCAAGGCTGCAGCTGGCAGTAAACTCCTGATTAATCTAGGTCACTGGGATTCTTGGAAGCAGAGACAAGCCTGAAGTAGCTGTGGGAGCAGGGGACGGAGGGGGAAGGGGTGTTAGGTAACAAGTAAGGGGAATGCTGTGACGGTTGGAGGGGGGATACCAGCAAGCACATGAGTGGAATGTTAAAACTAAATGCAAAAAAAAAGCACTACTCACTCCTCTAATCATGTCCTCTTTAAGATCTGAGCATATGGATCAGCATCAACATTAACAGTTAAATGAACATGGCCTAATGAGCCTCAGGCCAGGGAGGAGGTGATTTTGCATTTTATATGTTCTGCAGTGTAAATAAAGAAGGGCTTTTTGTTGGTTCAGCCTTGAGTAAACTACATTTTAGGAGCCCCAAAATGATCTTTTTGAATTCCAGACTGAAAAAAAATCTTTAAATGCCATCCTTGGGTTTTTGATTTAACACTCAAAATGAGTTGAAAATACTGATATTATAGTGATACCTTCTGCCTGACCTATGACCCCAGAGTATGGGATAAACCTAGTGCCAGCAGGAGTTGAATTTGAATAGCTCAGATTGAATCCTAAATGTCCATAATTTCAAATGCATTGGTTTGAAAATAAATTTCTCATAATTTAAAACTGAATTTAAAGTTTTTAATTTGAATTAATTTGCTTTGAAACTGTATTTTGGTTTATTAAAAATTCAGTTTGACTACTTTCACTTTCAGCTCCATAATTCAGATTTTTGTGTCACATCCTGGTCCTTGAGAAAGCCAGGCAGAGTAATCAAACACAGATCCACAGATTTATGTTTCACTTTGGTGAAGTTTCCCTTCTGTATATAACAGAGTTGATGCAATCCACTGTAAAAGTGACAAAAACACACAAAGTTATTTTATTGCAGTGATTAATTTGACCTATATGTAGAAAATGTTACATTTACATCACATCATGGATCAGTCAGCAGCAGCATCTGTTATGTATGTGATCCATGTGATCCATCTAAATTCACTGTTGGTGGTTATCAATATTGCACCTGTTCATTGGGTAAAGTTATTATTCGTTTTAAACATGCAGTTAATGGTCATTTGGCACAATGACATGTTACAATTTAAAATAAATCAAGAATAAACAATATAAAAGTGAAAGACAACCCTAAAGTCACTGGATATGTTAAATTGTGTCACATTAATTAACCTTATCTCAGCTGTAGCAGTGAGTTTAAAACAAAATGATAGAACTAGATTAATGAAGAATCTGTCTCTGAAATAATAATTAAATCAAGTGTTTATTTATGTAGGTAATAGTATGTTTAAGAACCTGGTAAAATACACCAGAATGCAGGAAATGGCATCTATTTTGTTCAGCATTTTCTAGGGGAGGACCCCCACTCTGACCTTTCTCTGACACACTGACTCATTGACACATGAAGCTGTGCTGCAAGGCAATTGATGACAGAATGGGTCCAGTTTCTGAGTGTGCTACAAAGTCAATCATGAATCTACAACCTAGGGTGTCTTGGTGCCATGTGCTCTTATAGACACCCTTACATTCGAACAAAGTGTTTGTGATAGACAAACTGTGACTAGAAGTCCAACAACAGAACACAAAGAACTGTCAGAACCATCCTCCCACCCAAAGACGCAGGGAAGCTACCCTTTCATTATTATGTGTGCCACACCTGGGGCGGCTGTGGCATTGTGGTTAGGGGAGTCATCCTGGAACCGGAAGGTCACCGGTTTGATCCCCCGTCCAGCTGTCTCAGTTGTTGTGTCCTTGGGCAAGACACTTCACCTCTAATGCCTCTGATGTGTGTCCCATCAGTGTATGAATGTGACTGACCCTGATTAGTCTCCATAGATGATTGTATATGTTAGCTTTGTAGGAGATGATCTGTGTTTTTGTCGTCACTTTCTAAAAGTTTTTCT